CTGTCTTTGTTGCAGCAGCAGCTGCTGCTGTTGTTGTTGCTGCTGCTGCTGCTGCAGCACAAAGCAGCAGCACAAGACGGAAGCGGTAGCAGCAGGGTATCAGCCGCGCTGCTGTTGCAACATCCGCTATATACAAACTTTGCTGCTCAGCGGTGCTGCTGCTGCTGCTGCTGCTGCTGACGTTGCTGCTGCTGCTGCTGTTGTTGCTGCTGTTGCTGCTGCTGCTGCCGCTAGCCGAACTGGACGTCCGCCCATTGTCTGCTGCTGCTGCTGCTGCTGCTGCACGGCGTTTGCGAGAGGAGCTGGAGCCTGGAGCAGCAGCAGCAGCAGCACCTTTAGCAGCAGCAGCAGCAGCAGCAGCAGCAAGGTTTGTTGCTGTAGGGGGAAGCAAGACGATAGTGATGCCTGCAACAGCAACACAGGAGAGAGCAGCAGCTGCTGCTGCTGCTTCCTCTGCTGTGCGTGTCAGCAGCAGCGCCCCGAGCTCAACAGCAGCCTTGAAAGCGTTGCTGCTGCTGCTGCTGCTGTTGCTGTTGTTGCTGCTGCTGTTGCTGCTGTTGCTGGTGCTGCTGCTGTTGCTGCTGCTGTTGCTGGTGCTGCTGCTGTTGCTGTTGTTGTCGTTGGTGTCGTTGTTGCTATTGCTGCAGTTGCTGTTGCTGCTGTCGCTGCTACTGCTGTTGCTGCTGTTGTTGCTGCTGCTGCTGAGATAGTGGTGATAGAAAGCCTGCAGCAGCAGATAAGCTGCTTCCATCCTCAGACCAAAGACAAGAGAAGATGTATTTGCTGCTGCTTGCATGCGCGCAGCAGCAGTTGCTGCAGCAGCTTTTGCTGCTGCTAGCAGCAGCAGCACATCCCTAGAAGAAAGATGTCGTTTCATACCTTCCGCGGTGCTGCTGCTGCTGCTGAGAAAACCCCCACCGCCGCTGCTGCTGCTGCTGCTGCTGCTGCTGCTGCTGCTGCTGCTGCTGCTGCTGCAGTTGTATGCTGCTGCATGCGCTTCTAGGTACCCTAGGGCCCCCAGGGGCCCCTCAGCAGCAAACATATATCTACCCTCCAGCAGCAGCATCGCAGCACGACACTCTAACACCAACTCCTATACAAAAAATAAATAAATAAATAAATATAAATAAATAAATAAATAAATAAATATAAATAAATAAATAAATATAAATAAATAAATAAATAAATAAGTAAATATAAATAAATAAATAAATACGTATCCACTTATATTTATTTATTTATATTTATTTATTTATTTATGAAGAAATATAAAAATAAATTAACTAATTAATTGCTTAATTATATATATATATATATATATATATATATATATATATATATATATATATATATATATATATATAT